AGCAGACGGACAGAAAATATGGCATCTGTGCAGGACCGCCCTTTCCTGAAACCGCATTGGGGCTCCACAAGCCTCTCCTCAGCGTGCCTGGCAAGGCGATGCTGAATAATCCTTGCCAGGACCTTTCCCGGCACACTGAGGAGTGAGATGCCCCTGTAGTTGTTACAGTCTGTGCGGTCCCCCTTCTTAAAAAGGGGGACCACCAGGGCATCCTTCCAATCCTGCGGAACCCATCCAGTGGTCCAGACTGTTGTTATGATGTCATATAGGGCAGTCTGTGCACAAACGCCACCCTCCCTCAGCATTTCGCTTGGGAGATCATCTCTGCCCGCTGCCTTTCCTGGTCTCAGACTCCGGATCGCCTTCAATACTTCCTCAGCAGATGGCACCTCAGCCAGCCACTCACAGGGGGTGACTTCATCCAATATTTGAGGCACCGCAGCCTCAGCAGGGTCATCCTCACTTTGTGCCACGATGTTTTCCTGGCTGAGGGATTTTCCCTCCCCCAGGACCTCACAGAAATGCTCAGCAAATCTGCAAACCTGTTCCTGGGGGTCGGAAATTGGATCACCGTTTTTTCCCCTAATGATGGTAATCGGTGTGGCGATGCAGGTTACTTTTTTGATGGAGTTAAATAGAGATTTGTGATCACGGGCCACTGAGGCAGACTCCATCTCCTCAGCAACCCGCGACCACCACCCATCCTTGCAGCGCCTCACGGCTCTCCGAACCTCCGAGCGAAGGCTGCGGTAAGCCTCCTCATTCTCTGACGTGGGATTCTGTAGCCGATGACAGTGGGCCTGTCGCTTTTTTTCAACCATCCTGAACAACTCCTCTCTCATCCAGGGTGTCTGGGGAGGTCTGGACCGCGTACCCAAAGCAGCCATTGCAGCTGCATGAGTCACAGTCCTAAACCTCGCCCATTTACCCTCGACATCAGGAGGAGTCGGGGACGATGCCAATCCCAGCCGCAAGCGATGATGAAATTCTCGCTTGCAACTTTCATCAGATAACTGAGACCAGGCCACTTTAGGTTGGAATGGGGTCCTGGGTGTACACCCACCACCGGAGTGGAAGAATGGCAGGCGCATCTTACAGATGACTAGTCGATGGTCAGAGGGCAGATCAGCTCCACGGTAGGTCCTGGTGTCAAGGACATGGGCTCGCATTCGCTGGTCCGTCACTATGTAGTCCAGCAGATGTTCTTGCTTGGACCCGGCATGCATCCATGATGTTGTGTGGATGCGCCGATGCCGGAACAGCGTGTTGGTAATTACAAGCCCATGGGCTGCACAAAAATCTAGCAGCCTCCTACCGTTGTTATTGAGCTGATCTGGCCCATGCCCTCCAATCACTCCAGACCAGGTGCCAGTATCATGACCAACTCGGGCATTGAAGTCACCCAACATGATGACTCTCTCCCGAGGGGCCACTTTAGCCAGCACCTGTGACAGGAGGTCATAGAAGGCATCTGACTCATCGGCTTTGCCTGCATCCCTCCACGGATGTTCATCTTCGGTGGGGGCATAAGTAACCACGACCACCATTCCTCGCCTCCGGTTGATGGGAAGGCGAGCCCAAAGTAGCCTGGGGCTTACAGCTTCCCACACCTCACCGCCACGCTCCCACGCCCCCTTCATTCTTTTGTTCAAAAGAAGACCCACACCCTGTTGTTTGGCAGTCTGCTGCCCCGAGTAGAGGACTGTCCACCCCTCATGGTGGCAGGAGCCAGAGCCGGTCCACCTGACCTCCTGAATGCCGCATAGATCCAGGCGGTACCGGTCCAGCTCCCGACAGAGGAGTGGCAGCCTCTCCTCTGCAGTGAGCGTTCGAACATTCCACGTGGCCACCCGTAGTGGCTTTTCGTTGTTTCTGGAGTAGCCCCGAGGGTAGGTATTCAATCTCCTGGCTCCGCCAATTGGGGTTTGGCCAGGAGACGTCATAGACGCCTGGCCCCCCGGGGCCTCCGGCACAAGCTTAGTTGTTACATATTTCAGTTTAATTCGTGGTTTCGTGGTAATTAATTGAAGGTGGAGGGGTTACCAGCCCCTCGCACCCGTCCAGAGCCCCCGTTTAGCCCCTGTGGTGGACACATATGCCATGAGGGGAGGAGCCAATCAAAATTGGATCTCCCCCCACAGCGCTGTCCACGACAGAGTTGCCCGTCCGGCACCGCGAGGAGGTAGGGGGTTGTTTTGCCGGACCACAGATACACACACAGGTACACACACACAGGTACACACACAGGTACACACACACAGGTACACACACAGGTACACACACACACAGGCACACACACAGGTAGACACACACAGGTACACACACAGGTACACACACACAGGCACACACACACAGGTACACACACACACACAGGTAGACACACACAGGTACACACACAGGTACACACACACAGGTACACACACACAGGTACACACACATAGGTACACACACACAGGTACACACACACAGGTACACACACACACACAGGTACACACACAGGTACACACATACACAGGTACACACACAGGTACACACACACAGGCACACACACAGGTACACACACACAGGTACACACACACACAGGTACACACACACAGGTACACACACAGGTACACACACAAACAGGTACACACACACACAGGTACACACACACAGGTACACACACAGGTACACACACAAACAGGTACACACACACAGGTACACACACAGGTACACACACACAGGTACACACACACAGGTACACACACAGGTGCACACACACACACAGGTACACACACACAGGTACACACACAGGTGGGCATCACACAGGTACACACACAGGTACACACACACAGGTGCACACACACAGGTACACACACACAGGTACACACACAGGTGGGCATCACACCCACAGAGCCCCCCACACCACTAACGACTCCCGCCTAGCCAACGACCTGAACGAGTTCTACTGTAGATTTGAAAGACAATTGGACTGTCCTGAACCACCCCTTCCAACCCAAGAGGCCCCATCCCCCACCAATACTACAGAGACGACTATCTCCTTTCAGGAGGAAGAAGTTAATAGACTTTTCAAGAGGCAGAATCCACGCAAAGCAGCCGGGCCGGACTCTGTCTCTCCAGCCACCCTCAGGCACTGCGCTGACCAGCTGTCTCCGGTGTTCACCAACATCTTTAACACCTCCCTGGAGACATGCCATGTACCAGCCTGTCTCAAGTCCTCCACCATCATCCCTGTGCCCAAAAAGCTAAGGCCAACAGGACTAAATGATTACAGACCGGTCGCCCTTACATCTGTGGTAATGAAGTCTTTTGAGCGCCTGGTCCTGGCACACCTCAAAGCCATCACAGACCCTCTCCTGGACCCCCTTCAGTTTGCCTACAGAGCCAACAGGTCTGTGGACGATGCAGTTAACATGGCCCTCCACTTCACCCTACAGCATCTGGACGCCCCAGCATCCTACGCCAGGATCCTGTTTGTGGACTTCAGCTCTGCCTTCAACACCATCATCCCTGCCCTGCTTCAGGACAAGCTCTTCCAGCTGAACGTGCCATACACCACCTGTAAATGGATCACAGACTTCCTGTCTGACAGGAAGCAGTGCGTTAAGCTGGGAACACAAGTCTCTGGCTCCAGGTCCATCAGCACCGGAACTCCTCAGGGCTGCGTCCTTTCCCCTCTGCTCTTCTCCCTGTATACCAACAGCTGCACCTCCAATCATCTGTCCGTCAAACTATTGAAGTTTGCGGATGACACCACCCTCATTGGGCTGATCTCTGGTGGGGATGAGTCTGACTATAGGTGGGAAGCTGACAATCTGGTGACCTGGTGTAGCCAGAACAACTTAGAGCTAAATGCTCTAAAGACAGTTGAGATGGTTGTGGACTTCAGGAAGAATACAGCACCACTCACCCCCATCACCCTGTTAGACTCCCCAGTAAAAATTGTAGAGTCCTTCCGCTTCCTGGGCACTATTCTCTCCCGGGACCTCAAGTGGGAATTGAACATCAGCTCCCTCACCAAGAAAGCTCAACAGAGGATGTACTTTCTACGGCAGCTGAAGAAATTCAACCTGCCAAAGACAATGATGGTGCAATTCTATACAGCGATCATTGAATCCATCCTCACCTCCTCCATAACCGTCTGGTACGCTGCTGCCACTGCCAAGGACAAGAGCAGACTGCAGCGTATCATCCACACTGCTGAGAAGGTAATTGCCTGCAATCTACCGACCCTCGAGGACCTGCACACGACAAGGTCTATGAGGCGAGCGAGGAAGATTATGGCCGATTTCTCCCACCCTGGACACTCTCTGTTTCAGCTAGCTCCCCTCCGGCAGAAGGCTTTCGGTCCATCAGGACCAAAACCTCACGCCATAAAAACAGTTTCTTCCAATCTGCTTGCTGGCCTGTTAAACAAGGCCAAGGGCTAACACTGTTTTTAACATTTGATCTACATAACGACACGTTGCTGATATTAACTTATGTTTTCCCTATTTGTATTTTTAAATTATATCTTAAAGCTATATTTTATATTCGATATTTATTTAATTTTATATAATTCAGCCCCTTAGTGTTTAGACTTTTAACCCTTATTATAGTAAGACTTGTTTAAAACTTATTTAAGATTTTAGATTCCTATATGTTGAATGTATGCACCATCCTGCCAAAGTAAATTCCGTGTCGGTGTGGAACTTACATGGCGAATAAACCCTTTCTGATTCTGATTCTGATCATGTTCAATTCTCATGTAATCCAAGTAGGAATCGATTCATTAAGATTCATTTTCGACCGCTTAATTCTCATGTTATCGAACGGAAATCGATTTAATTAGCTTAATCAACCGTATATCGATTCCCATGTTATCCCAAATGAAATCGACTCTATACATCCGTTACTCTACAATAATCGATTCCTAATGTTATCCCATTAAGAAGTCGATGCGAGTATAGTTAATCGAACCGGGAATCGAATTTCTCTCCACCGTGACTAAAGATCGCTCCATGGCGATGCGTCAACTCGTCTCTATACTTGGCCTACTCTTCCTCCTGCTCCTCCACCTCGTCACGTGGTGCAGCAGCCACGGTGAGCCGAGCCGGTCGATACATCGGGTGCCAGGTTGTGGTGGACGTGGGGAGCGGTGGTGCAGTGGTTAGCGCACTGTGTGTGAGTGTGTGGGGAGCGGTGGTGCAGTGGTTAGCGCACTGTGTGTGAGTGTGGGGAGCGGTGGTGCAGTGGTTAGCGCACTGTGTGTGAGTGTGTGGGGAGCGGTGGTGCAGTGGTTAGCGCACTGTGTGAGTGTGGGGAGCGGTGGTGCAGTGGTTAGCGCACTGTGTGAGTGTGGGGAGCGGTGGTGCAGTGGTTAGCGCACTGTGTGTGTGGGGAGCGGTGGTGCAGTGGTTAGCGCACTGTGTGAGTGTGGGGAGCGGTGGTGCAGTGGTTAGCGCACTGTGTGTGTGTGTGGGGAGCGGTGGTGCAGTGGTTAGCGCACTGTGTGTGAGTGTGGGGAGCGGTGGTGCAGTGGTTAGCGCACTGTGTGTGTGTGTGGGGAGCGGTGGTGCAGTGGTTAGCGCACTGTGTGTGTGTGGGGAGCGGTGGTGCAGTGGTTAGCGCACTGTGTGTGAGTGTGGGGAGCGGTGGTGCAGTGGTTAGCGCACTGTGTGAGTGTGTGGGGAGCGGTGGTGCAGTGGTTAGCGCACTGAGTGTGTGGGGAGCGGTGGTGCAGTGGTTAGCGCACTGTGTGTGAGTGTGGGGAGCGGTGGTGCAGTGGTTAGCGCACTGTGTGTGAGTGTGGGGAGCGGTGGTGCAGTGGTTAGCGCACACTGAGTGCCGTTTGCCCATCTCCCCAGCCCCGGCTTCCCCACTGAATGTGCGCGTGGAGTCTCGAGACCTGCTGACACAACTCCGCTGGGAACCAGCTGACGTGAACCCCGCCACCAGCAGCGTCACCTACAGAGTGGAGAGCAAACTGTGAGATGGTCGCTCACTCACTCACCCAGCCACTCACTCACCCACTCACTCACTCACCCACTCACCCACCCACTCACTCACCCATCAACTCACCCACCCACTCACTCACTAACGCACTCATTCACCCACTTACTCACCCACCCACTCTCTCACTCGCCCACTCACCCGCTTCCTCACTCACTCACTCACCCATCAACTCACCCACCCACTCACTCACTGACTAACGCACTCACTCACCCACTTACTCACCCACCCACTGTCTCACTCACCCACTCACTCAGCCACTCACTCACTCACCCACCCACTCACTCACCCATCCACTCACTCAACCACTCACTCACCCACTTACTCACCCACCCACTCACTCACCCATCCACTCACTCAACCACTCACTCACCCACTTACTCACCCACCCACTCTCTCACTCACTCACTCACCCACCCACTCACTCACTGACTCACTCACCCACTCTCTCACTCGCCCACTCACCCGCTTGCTCACTCACTCACCCACTCACTCACCCACCCACCCACTCACCCACCCACCCACTCCTCACCACCTCCTCCCCGTGTCTCTGTCTGTGCAGCTATGGACGAGCCCACTGGCGGACCGTCTGCGCTGCAACAACAGAGACTCGGTGCGATGTCTCCTCAGCTCTGCGGCATCCCGGTGACCGCTATCACCTGCGCGTCAGAGCCACCGTTTCATCGTCATCACCGGGGGCCTCACCAATCTCCTTGCCCTGGGTCGTGGTTGAGGTCTTACCCTTGGAGACAAGTCAGTGGCTTTGTCTATGTGTGTGTCTCTGTGTGCGTGTCTGTGTGTCTCTGTCTGTGTGTATGTATGTGTGTCTGTGTGTGTGTCTCTGTGTGTGTGTGTCTGTGTGTATGAGTCTCTCTGTTTGAGTGTCTCTGTGTGTATGTGTGTCTGTGTGTGTGTGTGTCTGTGTGTGTGTGTCTGTGTGTGTGTGTCTGTGTGTGTGTGTGTCTGTGTGTGTGTCTGTGTGTCTCTGTGTGTGTGTATGTCTGTGTGTAGAGTGTCTGTATGTGAGTGTCTCTGTGTCTCTGTGTGTGTGTCTATGTCTCTGTGTGTGGCTGCCTGTGTGTATGTGTGTCTGTGTGTGTCTCTGTGTGTCAGTGTCTCTGTGTGAGTGTCTCTGTGTGTGAGTGTCTCTTTGTGTGTGTCTGTGTCTTTGTGTGTGTCTGTGTCTGTGTGTATGTGTCTGTGTGTGAGTGTCTCTGTGTGAGTGTGTCTCTGTGTGTGAGTGTCTCTGTGTGAGTGTCTCTTTGTGTGTCTCTGTGTGAGTGTCTCTGTGTGTGAATGTCTCTGTGTATTGTCTCTGTGGGAGAGTCTCTGTGCGTGTCTGTGTGTGTCTCTGTGTGTCTGTGTGTGTCTCTATGTGTGAGTGTCTCTTTGTGTGTCTGTGTGTGTGTCTCTGTGTGAGTGTCTCTATGTGTGAGTGTCTCTTTGTGTGTGTCTCTGTGTGTGTGTCTCTGTGTGAGTGTCTCTGTGTGAGTGTCTCTGTGTGTGTGTGTGTGTGTCTCTGTGTGTCTGTGAGTGTCTCTGTGTGTGAGTGTCTCTTTGTGTGTGTCTCTGTGTGTGTGTGTGTCACTGTGTGTCTCTATGTGTGTGTGTCTGTGTGTGTGTCTGTGTGTCTCTGTCTCTGTGTGTGTGTATGTCTGTGTGTAGAGTGTCTGTATGTGAGTGTCTCTGTGTCTCTGTGTGTGTGTCTATGTCTCTGTGTGTGTCTGCCTGTGTGTATGTGTGTTTGTGTGTGTCTCTGTGTGTCAGTGTCTCTGTGTGAGTGTCTCTGTGTGTGATTGTCTCTTTGTGTGTGTCTGTGTCTTTGTGTGTGTCTGTGTCTGTGTGTGAGTGTCTCTGTGTGAGTGTGTCTCTGTGTGTGAGTGTCTCTGTGTGAGTGTCTCTGTGTGTGTCTCTTTGTGAGTGTCTCTGTGTGTGAATGTCTCTGTGTATTGTCTCTGTGGGAGAGTCTCTGTGCGTGTCTGTGTGTGTCTCTGTGTGTCCGTGTGTGTCTCTATGTGTGAGTGTCTCTTTGTGTGTCTCTGTGTGTGTCTCTGTGTGAGTGTCTCTATGTGTGAGTGTCTCTTTGTGTGTGTCTCTGTGTGTGTGTGTCTCTGTGTGAGTGTCTCTGTGTGAGTGTCTCTGTGTGTGTGTGTGTGTGTCTCTGTGTGTCTGTGAGTGTCTCTGTGTGTGAGTGTCTCTTTGTGTGTGTCTCTGTGTGTGTGTGTCACTGTGTCTCTGTGTGTGTGTGTCTCTGTGTGTGTCTCTGTGTGTGTGTCTCTGTGTGTGTGTCTCTGTGTGTGTGTCTCTGTGTGTGTGCCTCCGTGTGTGTCTGTGTGTGTGTCTCTGTGTGTGTCTCTGTGTGTGTCTCTGTGTGTATGTCTCTGTGTGTGTGTCTCTGTGTGTGTGTGTGTCTCTGTGTGTCTCTGTGTGTGTGTCTCTGTGTGTGTGTGTCTCTGAGTGTCTCTGTGTGAGTGTCTCTGTGAGTGTCTCTGTGTGTGAATGTCTCTGTGTATTGTCTCTGTGGGAGAGTCTCTGTGTGTGCGTGTCTGTGTGTGTCTCTGTGTGTCTGTGTGTGTCTCTATGTGTGAGTGTCTCTTTGTGTGTCTCTCTGTGTGTGTGTGTCTCTGTGTGAGTGTCTCTATGTGTGAGTGTCTCTTTGTGTGTGTCTCTGTGTGTGTGTGTCTCTGTGTGAGTGTCTCTGTGTGAGTGTCTCTGTGTGTGTGTGTCTCTGTGTGTCTGTGAGTGTCTCTGTGTGTGAGTGTCTCTTTGCGTGTGTTTCTGTATGTGTGTCTCTGTGTGTCTCTGTGTGTGTGTGTCTCTGTGTGTGTCTCTGTGTGTGTGTGTGTCTCTGTGTGTGTCTCTGTGTGTGTGTCTCTGTGTGTGTGTGTCTCTGAGTGTCTCTGTGTGAGTGTCTCTGTGAGTGTCTCTGTGTGTGAATGTCTCTGTGTATTGTCTCTGTGGGAGAGTCTCTGTGTGTGCGTGTCTGTGTGTGTCTCTGTGTGTCTGTGTGTGTCTCTATGTGTGAGTGTCTCTTTGTGTGTCTCTGTGTGTGTGTGTGTCTCTGTGTGAGTGTCTCTATGTGTGAGTGTCTCTTTGTGTGTGTCTCTGTGTGTGTGTGTGTCTCTGTGTGAGTGTCTCTGTGTGAGTGTCTCTGTGTGTGTGTGTGTGTGTCTCTGTGTGTCTGTGAGTGTCTCTGTGTGTGAGTGTCTCTTTGCGTGTGTTTCTGTGTGTGTGTGTCTCTGTGTGTCTGTGTGTGTGTGTCTCTGTGTGTGTGTGTGTCTCTGTGTGTCTCTGTGTGTGTGTGTCTCTGTGTGAGTGTCTCTGTGAGTGTGTGTCTCTGAGTGTCTCTGTGTGAGTGTCTCTCTGTCTGTCTCTGTGTGAGTGTCTCTGTGTGAGTGTCTCTCTGTGTGTCTCTGTGTGTCTCTGAGTGTCTCTGTGTGAGTGTCTCTGTGTGTCTCTGAGTGTCTCTCTGTGTGTCTCTGTGTGTCTCTGTGTGTCTCTCAGCTGTGCTCAGCGCTCCTACGGTCACCGTGACGCTCCACAAGAGACTGACGGTGCAGGAGGAGGCTGGTGGTGACGAGGAGGAGGAGGAGTGCCGTGTTGAGGATGAGGACACCGAAGACGATGATGACGATGATGACTACGATGACGACTACGATGACAACTACGATGATGACGATGATGATGACGATGACGATGATCACGATGACGTCGCTGATGATGCGGACCGTGTCAATACCCACCACGGTGATGACGACGATGACCATCACCACGGCGATGATGATGACGATGACGACGATGATGGTGTGGACCGTGTCAACACCCACCACGGCGTTGATGAGCACGACGAGGATGACCACGAGGATGAGGAGGAGGAGGAGGGAGAGTGGTGGGAGCTCTCCGTGGCGGTCTCCATGACGAGTGGCTGGAGGAGGAGAATGGCGCGGAGTGACGTGGTGCATCACCAGCAGGCAGAGGTCTTCACGAGGGGGGGCACAACCATCACGGT